AAGGGTTTATGTCCCTTTTTCCTTGGAGACAAAAAAGTTTTTAATTCTAATCTTAAAAGACCTCAAAGGATGTTTCCTTCTTTTGTTTCAAGTGGTTGGAGAAACATGAAATGTTTCTGCTCAGGGGAAAAAAACAATATAGCTTAAAAATAATCTTTCAGTTGGACTTCAAACCAGCAATATATGCTAGGAAACTTGGTGAGAACTCACTGGTGTGTTATGTGGCAGATGAATGCCAACCCATCTTAAACCTAAGATTTACAAGACAACCATCCACCCTGTTGCACTGTATGGCACTGAATGCTGGGTAGCAATAACAGGGACTGAAAACTATCTCTGTGGAAATGTGAATGCTTGGATATCGGGAATCTCCCTTTTTGACCACATCACAAATGACACCATTCAACAACATTTTGGTGTGGCACCAATTATAAAGAAGATGAGAGAAGGCCAACTCCACTGCTATGGACATGTCCAGAGAGCATCACCTTCCATCACAGCCAAGGCTGCCGACCAACAAAGGCTGACAATCTTGGAAGCATCCAAAACAGAGATGGCAAGATACCATCAACAAATATATGCAAGCCACATGCCTGCACCCTGGAGATGCAGCTGACCGTGTGAAGTGGCATTCAATAATCTGAAAAGCGGACCCTGCACCATATGCTAGGAAACTGTTATAATGAGTGCACTGTTGCAGAATTCAGTTTAAAATAGCTCTCACTGGAGACCATAGTTTGCAAGAAATTACTTTTTAACAATCTATTGAATTAGTTGCAGTGTCTGCCAATGTTTACATTTTGATAGATATAACTCTATTTATATATGTAGTATGTATTATTGTTTCTGTTTTGGTGTCTTCATGTCAGTGATGTCTCCTGGAAACTGCCTGGAAAAGTCCCTGTACTTTTCTAGCAAGCTTTGCCATTGCCTGCTTCCTCAGGCTGAGAAAAAGTGACTGGCTCAAAATGACCCAGCTGGTTTTCCTATCTAAGGAAGGACTAGAATTCACAGGGTATTTTTAAAATTTCTAGTCTGGTGCCTTACTCCAAACTGGCTCTTTTATTTTTACAGGTAGTCCTTGACTATCTGTAAACATTAATCCATTCATTTAGTGACTGTTCAAATTACAGTGGTAGTTTAAAAAAAAGACTTATAATTGGCCCTCACACTTATGCCCATTGTAGCATTCCTACGGCCACATGATCTAAAGTTGGGCACTTACCAGCCAGCATGTATTAATGATGGTTGCAGCTTCCCAGGGTCATGAGGTTATAATTTGTGACCTTCCCAGCCAGCTTCCAACCAGCAAAATCAATGGGAGAAGCTGGATTTGCTTAAGGATTGCATGATTGCATTTGCTTAACAGCTGCAGTGATTCACTTAACAACTGTAGCATAAAAGGTCACAAAATCATGTGTGTGTGTGTGTGTGTCTGTCTGTCTCCTACCTATAATGTGGAGAACTACAATATATCTGCACAGGGAGATCCAGTCACAGAAAGGAAACCAATTGTTCTGTTACTTTTCTAGAACAAAAATTTGTGAGGGCAATATCCAGTGGGAGGAAAAAGTACCCTGCAATTTGGACTAAATAATTTACAAGATGTTGCCAATATATTCCCAATCTAGACATGTTCCTACCTCTGTTCTTTGAAAAGTATTAGTTTGCCAAAAAACCTAGTTTTTAGTTAATTTAATTAATATTAGTGAGTTAGGGGTTAGGGGTGTCTTACAGATCAGTGTGATTCTTTAACAAGTCCAGAATATATGTAAAATGCAATAGCAAAGGCACTGAATGTTGTTCCCACTTCATTATTTTATATTAGTGTATCATTTGTACTTTTTAAATGTATGAGCTATTAACCTCATAGGGAGCAACAAAAGGTTTTTAAGTATTGTTGCCTGCCTTTCAAATTGCTCTGAAAAATTTCAAGGATTGGATGATGGCTTTTATTTCTGCTGGGCCTATTGGAGTAATTTCCTCTTAAAAGCAGACAATAATCTGTGTATTTTTCATGTTAGCCCTTCTATGCAATTTACAGTACTATAAAATGAAATGAAGAAAGTGACCCAGATGGCTGATTAAAGCTTTTAGTTCTGTTGCTGGAGGAGTAACAAGTAGTCTTAGTATTTTTGCTATTATTTATGACAGAAAACCAGACCCTCTAAGCAGATAAGGATCCTCCTCCCACTAAGAGACTTTGTTTCTGAAGAGTTAAACATGATGAGTCTCTTAATTGTAGCGCTGGTCTTTTGAAGGCTTTGTTCTGTAAGATGTTAGAGCAGCCCAATAAACTGTAACAGTGAGCCAAATAAGATAATAACCTATCCTTCGCAAACACGGGTTTAAGTTTTCACATAAAATTTAGGGTCCTGAACAATTGTCTAATTGCTTACATGCAGGTGATAAACCTAAGATGATGTAGTAACAGGACTGCAGAGTTTCTAGAGCTGTTTGTCAGCTCAAGAAACTCATTGTCTCTGCAAAACTCTAGTTCAGATTTGTGTATAATTAAAGACAGACTCTGCTCTAAGGGTTGTTTGTGGGTCCTTTATCCATCCCATCTTGTTGGCAGAAAGAAAGAAAGAAAGAGAGAAAACAATTCACATATTTCTTTGCACATCACAAATGTGAGGGCTCCCCCCTATAATCATATTTCAGTTTTATTTATATTTGTCAATATCAATTTAATCTATTGTTTAGTGTTTATAGATCTGTTTGTGTGAACAAAATGCCTTAATATTCAAGCGGAGATTCATTCCATTCCTGTAACAGAATATGAGCTTCCTGCAGCTCTTGAAATTTGCTCTGGAGGTTTCAGAAATCACTTTCCTCCATTCCCTAATGTGAAGTAACTTTGAGTCATAGAAATATATAGTGCTTTCCATGAACTCAAATAGAAAATAAATAGGCAGCCTTGCTCATTAGCTTAATAAATGTCTACAATGGAATAAGGGCCTAATTTCTATTATATAGCACAGGCAGTGTGTAGCTAGCTATTACCCAGTATCGATGCTGTTCATGTTGCTTTCCTATTTAGTTTGATTGGCCTTAATTGAGAATGTTCCCTGTTCACTCTGCCTTAATCAGAAGGGCAGCATAATATAAATGGAAGTCATCAAGATGCAATTGCTATTCAGTAGGAAGGCCACCAGAACATATAATAGGCCTACCTTTTCTATGATACCATGGGCAGCAATTTGTTAAACTATCAGAGAATCTGATATGGATGAAGTGATGTTTTAAGAATGCTGTTTTCACAAGTGGGAGTTTCAGACAGGAAGAGAGAAGTTACAACATCATTGAAAAGAAAACAGTTACTAAAATGGATAAAGAACCAACAAGTGTACTAAACTATCTTTCTGGGGAAGGGGACTATGAACCTAAAACAGTCACAAGAGTGCAGTGTGATTTCCCCATTAATTCCTTTTCTGAAATGCACCGTCCCAAGGTGACTTCCTTCTGAGAAAACTGTTGAGATTGAATGCGTCCTGCTCCAGTACTACTGCACATAGCATTGTCAAACAAGATTACATGTCAGAACTCCATTGTTCTTTGAGAACAATGAATTTGGCTCTTCTTCTGTTGTTTCAAAGCATTTCATTGCATCGAAGCATTCAATTTGTGAAAGATCAAAGGTACAGTCAAATAAAGACAAAATGGTATTCATTAGCTAAGGGATATAAATAAGTTTAAAAATGCTAAGAGTGAAAGAAGGAGGAAACTTAAGCAGATAGAATATATAAGCTAACAAAGAAATATTTGGGATTTAAAAATTAACTTCTTTCCCAAGTGTTATATTGGAGTAGATTAAATAACTACATTATAACTATATGAATCATATTTCATCACATCAGTTACAAAGCTGGTTGTAGATTGGAAAATGGTAGTTACTTTCCTATGCTAAGTAGACTTAATATTGATTTTCCGGGATTGTTCTTGGATTATTGTTTTTTTTTTAGCCTAGAACCATTGGGAGTTTTCTCTTGAAAATAGCATTTGCTTTTCCACAATAAGTATAATTTATACTATTATTTTGTAACAAGTAACTAAGGACATGGCATTTTACTTACTAAATATTCACAAGGAAATAAAATATTTAAAAATAAAACCTACAATCATACATAATGCCTCCACCTTACCAAATCCTTTAAAAACTTTGCATGATCATACGGACATTAGAAAATATCCTTTCCTTTGCCAAAAAAGATTAGTGTGCAAATCTCTTTTGGAATTTGCACATGACTATTATTATATAGATAAAAAGAAAGAAATTCCTCAGAATCGTGAGAGAGTCAAATAAATTAATATCTAAGAACTCAAGTAGATAACAGTTACATTCTCACATTTCTTCTGCAGTCTTTTATAGTAATTAGTCAGTTATAAAATAATACTAAATAATTGCTTATCATTGAGAACATTTAATTGGTTATATGTGAGCTTTTCTGGGTGGACAGACATGATTTTAAGTTGTGATGGACTAATTTTGTTTCTCAAATTAATGTTGTGTTGTAGTTTTGAATCAATGTAGGTTAGAACTGACTTTTAGAATAAACTCTTGGCAATCAAAACTATCTCTGAATAGATGCTTTAATTTAGAGACTTTTAAAGGGGAAACCAAGCCTCCTGAGAATACCAGGTGCACAACCTAACCATTTCACTCCAGACAGACAATCAAATAGTAGAGTAATGAAATATTATGAGCCCTGTTTTCAATTTTGGTCCTGAAAATAGAGATTGGGAAGTTGGAGTTTTCATGTCTAAAATTAAGCCAATCAAAACAACAACATATTTCTGTCTTAAAGATTGCATGTCTAATCTGAAGTAACATTTCAGTATTTCCCATGAAACACCGTGACTTTTCATAGACTTCTTACTTTAGAATATGTAATGAACATCTGCCTGATGGTAAGATTTATGCTATCATTTATACATTTGCTCTCTTACCTTGTTAATAGGCCCATTAGAATTAACAAGTATATGCATACTATTCTTAGACACATGAAGGATCAAAACAAGAAGGTGGCCAACCTGAAGCATAATCAACAAATAGAAAAGAAGAAGAATGCCCAGTTGCTAGAAGAAGTTCGGAGGCGTGAAGACAATATGACAGACAATGCTCAGCATTTGCAGGTAAGTTGTTTTATTTTTTATAACACTACCCTACTAAACATTTTACAGTTTGTCTACACATGACTAGGTTGTCAATCCAAATAACACATATACTTCATAGCTAGTGACTGATAAAGTACTGATTTTTCTTGATTGACAAAAGTTTGGTTAGACAGATCCGGTATATCCCATATATAAATCTTTTGATATTTTTTGTCTTTATTAACTTAGGAAAAAGTTCTGTATTCTTGGATTTATCATAGATCTTACCTAAGAAATTGGTCTGGGCTATAAAAAAATCTGCATCCTACTAAATGGTAGCAAAGATGTATATGTTTTTGTTTATTTAGACCATTTATATATTTGCTTATTTCCCCAAAGTTACTTTACGAGGTGCATAGATATTTATTACTTCCCTGCCCCCTCAAAAAAATAATAATTTAATTTATAAAAAGTAGCATTCAATATCAAAAAAACCCTATAATATATTCTAAGAGAAGTTCCTAACACTTTAACATTAGTCAAATAGGAGGACCAGTCCAAGATTCAAGAAGATTTATCTACAAAAACTACCAGTAGTTGATCTTACAGACCATTAGATGGCAGCAAAAAGATAGAAATTTTTGTCCCCTTTTACTGCCATCTAGTGGTTTTTCACACTTTGTAGTCCAAATCTTAGTGAAACCCAGGGGTGGTTTTCTACCAGTTCCCACCAGTTCTATAGAACCGGATGATAAGATTCTGCCCAGTTCAGAGAACCAGCAAATTGTGTCCCTGGCTGGCCCCTCCCCTTCCCCTCCCAGCCACTCACCTCTGATGAGGCTGAAGATGAGTTTCTGGAACTGCAGGGCTTTAAGCCTGGAGCAAGAATCCCTTTCTCTCCTTCCCACCCCCCTGCGCCTATCCCATTTGGAAGATATTGAGTTTTGTTGTTGCTGACTACGTCCTCCATGCTTCCCAAATGAAGTAGACCGAGTGGGAAATGGCTGGTGTGCATGCATGTGAAATTAAGCCTCCTTCCTATAAAATCCATTCAGAAAACAAAGGAGCGGATATGGTTTAATTCTGCTTCAGCCCAGATTGCTGGAGAGAAATTATTTAATTGACTAATTCATTGGAAATTGCTGTGTTATGGCTTTTCATGGGATGTGGTGCTTATGATGGGCTATAAACAGGTAATACTCAGCCTTAAAATTATGTTATGTAGGTAAAAAGGCAATTAGATTTGCTGGCCTTCCTAGGTATCATTTTCAGTAGTCAGTCTCTGCTTCTGTACACTACTAATATAATTAAACCAAATACCTATCTCTAAGACAGCACTAACCCTAGAACATTTTAATGGACTAGGAACAGTCATCCTGGAAGAGATATTTGGGGAGGGGACTTTACTCTTTAAAGTGGTGTCCTTGTGAAGAAGGGGCAGTTTATATTACATTTTATAGATTAATCCACCAGTAGAAAATAGGTAACATCCATTTGAGGTCAATCCATGCATTTAGTGAGGAGGAGGAGGAGGAGGAGGAGGAGGCGGCGGCAATATTAAACTAGAGCCTTAGTACAAGGGGCAATCCAGTAGAAGTGTCTTGATAGTTCTGTCCAAGCAGAGACATGAGTGTGGTAAGTATGGAATCTTATTAAATAAATTCATACAGATACACAATGCTCAATACCTTTAACTTTGGTAATTCTTTCATGTTATTGACTTGGGAATAATCAGGTCTCATGCTGCCTGGGGAATTCTGGGAATTGAAGTCCACATGTCTTAAAGTTGCTAAGCTTGAAAGACACTCAGAAGTACAACTTCTTGTGAGCCTGGGTAATTTCCTGCATTTTGGGAATAAGGAAATTATCCTATTGTGCCTGGTGCAGAGATGCAGCTGAAATCTAGTTAGATGCTAATTGGAAGGTTAAAGCTGCAGATAGTCTTTGACTTACAAGTATTTGTTTAGCCTCCATTTAAAGTTAAAAAGCACTGAAAAAAGTTACTTATATTCCCTCCCCCACTCCAGGGACGGACAGAGAAAGAGAGAGACAGAGA